CCAGAGAGGGCAAGCGGCTTGCTCCGCATCACAGCCAGGCTCTCATAGTACAGGTGCATGGACGAGCCAATGCTCTGCGTTGTCCAGTAGATCATGACATGCGTCAGCACCTCATCCAGCGACACAGACCGGAACGGCTCCGCCGCAGAGCTGTCGCTCCACCTGTGCATACGCGCGTGTGTGTGTGTGTGTATGTGTATATGTGTGTGTGCATACGGGTGTGCGTTTGTGTGTGTGTGTGTGTGTGTGACAGGGAGTCCGCTCAACGCAGGCAAATACGTACGGAAGCACACAAATGCAGTCATGCACGCAAGCAAGGTTAGCAACAAACAACCAAACACACGAACCAACCAACCAACGATATGGCCCTTGAAAAGCTCTGCACTCGTTGCTCGGCTGCACACTGGCGACTACAACAAGCACTCGGACCATCGCACAACAGCGACACTTACGCGTAAAACTTCTCGAGCAGCCATGACAGCAGGCCCACTGGCGAATCGTTTAGCCCCTGCGCAAGCGTGTCTGGTCGCGTCGCTATCAAATGACACACACACACACACACACACACACACACACACACACACACACACACACAACAATTGCACACGTGGGTATGAGGGTAAGAACAAGGAAGCAGCGGCGTTGACGGGAGCCCCAGAGGCACACACACGCACACACACATACATGCATACATAAATTCACACCTTGGATGAACTGGTAGCCGGTGCCCTCGCGAAAGAATGTGCGCGTGGTTGCCACCATGGCGCTGTCCTCTTTGCTCATCACCAGCGGCGCCAGCACAAGCGGGGCCCAGTGCCGCACGTTGTGCCACAGCGACACCGGCCCGCGCACAGGGGGCGGTACGCACGCCAGGAAGTTCACGTGCAGACCAACGCAGCTCTTCGCGTGGTGCCGCCCCAGCGCCCGCGCAATGATCCCGCCCCAGTCTGCCAGTGCACGCAAACAACAACAGTGGAGGGTATTTGTGTGTGTGTGTGTGTGTGTGCGTGTGTGCGTGCGTGCGTGTGTGTGTGTGTGTATGTGCGTGCGTGCGTGTGTGTGTGTGTGTGAATGGAGAGTGCAAACAAGAGCACGTGTGCGTGACTAGGTGCGACTGTGTGCAAAGGTATGCGGCAGACAGGCAGTCATGGGTTGCTCGCCTTCTGGGCTGCCATCAACTGCTTACGTCTCCGTGCCCCTCGCCACAGCTCCAACTCCACGCTCATTCTCGCATCCTTCCAACATCAAGCCGCTCCGCAATGCCGGCATCCATTCCCTTACCTCCGCCTTGCACGACGTAGTGCTCGTAACCAAGCTTCTTCATCAGCTTGTCAAACACATTCGCAATCGCATACGTATCCATGCCCTGCTCAGCATAGCAACCCGACACACACACACACACACACGCACACGCACGCACACACACACACACACGCATACGCACACACACGCATACGGACAAGTGCCAATGAGACCACATAATCCACGTATGTCAACACGCGCACTGCTGACCAGCAGACTAAGCTTCCATGGCACGCCCGTCTTTCGCCACCCACTCCTTCCATCGTAACAACATTCACATGTGCTCACCTCCTGCTTCGGTGCTTCGCTCCACCCATATCCGGGCAGCGATGGCGCAATCACATCGAAACCATGCCCGTCCTGTTCATATGCGTATGTGTGTGTGCGTGAGGGTAGTCATGTGCTCATCCTCTGCTAGTCATAGCACATGCACTTCAGTTACAACTCCAAAGTGCACAGGATCACACGGCAGAAGCACATAGTGGTGCACACAGCAGTGCACAAAACACAAGACGGTGATGCGTGATCGCACACATGCTCATATACACACACGCATGTACGCACACATACACATGCACACACAAGTACACACACGCGTGCACACACGCATGCACACATGCGCACACACAACTCCATTCACACACATACGTGCATGCACATGTGCATACCTTGTCGGCGGTGAGGAGGGGAATGAGTTTGTGAAACTCAAACACGGACCCGGGCCAACCATGGATCAGCAGCAGTGGTGTGCGCTCCTTGGCTGTCGTCTTCTGCTCCACGGCACACGGCAGTGTTCAAACGCACACATGTAACGGACCAACACGGACGCCACTTGCCGTCAACCAATTACACACACACACGCACGCACGCACGCACACACACACACAATACACACACATGTATATGTTTCCTACACACACAATTCACAAACCTGGTGGATGAAGTGGATGCGGAGGTCATCCACTGGGCATGTGAAGTGATCAAAGGTGTTCAGCTTCTCCACGGCGGCCTTCCAATCGTATGACTCCTTCCAGTACCTGAGATGGCCAACAGCATCAGCGTACAAGCGTGCAACCGTACAAGTGTGTAAGCGTGCAAGCGTGCAAGTGTGTAAGCGTGCAACCGTACAAGTGTGTAAGCGTGCAAGAGAACGATAACCCGCAAGCTCAGTTCTACCAACACACACACACACACACACACACACACACACACACACACACACACACACACACACACACACACACACACACACACACACACACGCGCGCGCGCGCATGCAGACATATGTGCACTGACTTGATTGCGTCCTGGAGCACGTGCGTCGGGGTGCCTGCCTTCCAGTCTGGGGAGGGTGATGCGGGAGCTGGGCGGGCCTGCGCAAGCTTTTGCCTCACCTCCTCCATATCCTCCTCGCGGAAGGGCACCTCAAAGCGCTCAACACCCACACTCATCTTCGCTAGCTCACAACCTTGCTTCTTCAAATCAAACACAAACAATGCAGCAAGCAAGAAGAAGGACCATCCAATTAAGTGATGACAACACTGCAACCCAGAGCAATCGCCGGCCACACATCGACGACATGGCGGGGCCAGGCCTGTTGCTTGCTGCCCGATGCAGCGCTCTTGTGCCCTCAGCTTCGCTGTCGCGAGCGTCACTGTCGCCCTTGTGCCTCGCACCCTTGTCAAGCACACTGACCACGCGCACAATGCGGGCAGTGCATGTGCACTGTGTGCGTGCACGACAACACCACCAACACCGATCCGCGTCGTCGAGCACAGCCCAGCAGCCCCCATCAGCGTCACGGCAGCTGCCGCACGTCGTGGTCCTCGGGACGGGATGGGCTTCTCACCGCTTCGTCCGTGACATCGACCACAACAAGTACCATGTCACAGTGGTGTCACCTCGTGATCACATGCTTTTCACACCGCTCCTCACGTCCACTGCCGTCGGCACGCTGGAGCACCGTTCCATCATCGAGTCCATTCGCGCCACCGCCTCTGAGGTGTGTCTGTCTGCTGTGTCTGTCTGTCTGTCTGTCTGTCTGTCTGTCTGTCTGTCTGTCTGTCTGTCTGTCTGTCTGTCTGTCTGTCTGTCTGTCTGTCTGTGTGCACACTTCGTGCGTGCGTGCGTGCGTGCACGGTGTTGCAGTTTGCTGGCAACCTTTACTCCTTAAGCTCAACACTACTTCCTTCCCCATCCACAACCACAACACACACACACACACGCTCGCACGCTCGCGCGCGTTTGCTGTGATGCTCGCACGACTGCAGCGCCACTTTGACTTCCAGCAGGCCCAGGTCACAGACATTGACTTTGACAACAACAAGGTAGCTTCAGCATATCCACTCATTCCACGCTGTCACAACTGCGCCCTGCGTTCACTTTGCTGTACTGCTGTACCCCTTCTGCGCTCATCACAGCCTGTCGCTTGCTGGTATCTTCCAGGTGATGTGCCAGTCTGCCGTCTATTCCAATGACGAGGAGCCCGAGCGCTTTCCGATTCCATACGACTTCCTCGTCGTCGGCATCGGTGCCGTCCCAAACACGTGCGTGCCTTGTTGTCGTGTGTGTGTGTGTGTGTGTGTGTGTGTGTGTGTGTGTGTGTGTGTGTGTGTGTGTGTATGTGTGTGTATGTGTGTGTGTGTGTGTGTGTGTGTGTGTGTGTGTGTGTGTGCGCGCGCGCGCGCCCTCGAGTTTGCCGCCTTGCTGCCTCTCGCCTGGTTCGCATACACAAATGAACAGAGTGAATCGCAACCCGTCACATCAGCGCTGGTGTGCGTGCGTGGCGCAGGTTTGGCGTCCCCGGCGTCAAGGAGCATGCCTTCTTCCTTAAGGAAGCCAGCGATGCAAGGTGACTCCAGCCACGGTGTCCTGTAAAGGTCGCTCGTACCGCCATCATGTGTGCCCTGTGCGTGTGTAAGTTCACCGTCGCGTTACACTGTATTACACAGTGCAAGAAGAGGTGTATCTGCGCTACTCTTGCTCTCCTTCTCTTCTCCTCTTGCCTTCATTTCCTTCCCTTCAGCTCCTCCGCTCTCCAAATCTCCACAGTTCCAACGATACCACTTCAAAGCACAGTTCGCCCCTGCTTTTCACCCTCAACCCCTACCTCAACATCCGCGGCATTGTGGCGTTTGCATCAACAGAGATGTGCGGCGTCGCATTCACGACTGCTTTGAGGCCGCGTCTTTTCCGATGAAGACAGCGCAGGAGATTGAAGACCTTCTCACGTTTGTCGTGGTGGGTGCACAACACAAATACAATACACCACCCTACAACACTGCGACAACACACGACACAGCAACACAACGCAACACAGCGGGCAGGTGTACGTTCGCGTCGTCTGTCTCCTACTGCCCTGAAATAAGTGTGCTTGCTTTTTCTTGTCTGTGGTTCCAACATGACTCTTCGCTTCAGGTTGGTGGTGGGCCGACTGGGGTTGAGTTTGCGGCAGAGTTGACCGACTTCCTACGCGAGGACTGCACTCGTCTCTATCCACACATCCAGCACCGCCCCCGCGTCATCCTCCTCGAAGCAAGCGGCGCAGGTGTGTGCGTGTGCGTGTGTGTGTGTGTGTGTGTGTGTGTGTGTGTGTGTGTGTTGTGTGTGTGTGTGTGTGTGTGTGTGTGTGTGTGTGTGTGTGTGTGTGTGTCGTGAGCAAGGGTTCACTTGAACGGCAACGAACCACTTCACCCTCGCCCCTGCTACGCTTCTCACTGCTCCCCAGTGCTGAGCGCCTTTGACAGCAGTCTTCGCCAGTATGCACTCCGTCGCCTGGAGCGGCAGGATTGCCACGTCCGTCTTGGCCGCAGTGTCAAAGAGGTGCTGTACCTGCTACCATGCAAAAATGACCCAGATTATGCGTCGGTGTCTGTGTTGGGCTTCCTTCCATTCCTTCCATTCCTTCCCTTCCCTTCCCTTCCCTTCCCTTCCCTTTCCTTCCTTCCTTCCTTCCTTCCTTCATCCATTCTCTTCTCCTCTGACTGAACTTCCACACACGCACACACACACATGCCGTTGCAGGTGAAGCGACATGAGGTTGTGCTGGACAATGGCGAGGTCATCAACACTCATTGCATCGTCTGGTCAACAGGTGCGTCACTGCCACTTTGCTTGCATGCAGGCAAGCTGGCGCACGAAACTTGCTGCGTATGGTAGTCTAGTGTGTCGAGTGACAGCGACACCAGATACATGCAATACCGTGACATGACCCCCTCCACGTCCTCCCCTTCCCCCTCTTTCATGCATGTGCAGGCGTTGGCCCGCGCGCGCTCGTGAAGTCACTCGATGAAAGGTATCTCACCGAGAACAAGCAACACATCCGCGTTGATCGGGGCCTCAAGATCGCCAACACCCAGAACGCATTTGCATACGGCGACTGTGCCCGCATCGATGGTGTGTGCTGCTTCTCCTTGTCCTTGTCCATGTCGTTCTTTGCTCTTGTTGGGGGGGGGAGGTTGTTGGTCAATTGATTTTGCCGTCGACAGTGTTCGCCCTGTTCGCCTGTTTGCATCACGATGTGCACAAAAGGATACACGCACATGATGTCCTTGGTAACACGCAACACACAACACACAACACACAGCACACAGCACGTACATACACACTCGCATGTGCTCACCAATCTGCGTGCACCACCAGGGTACATCCTCCCTGCCGTTGCCCAGGTGGCAGAGCAGCAGGTGCGACCAACCCTGCGCCGCTTTCACGCATTGCTTGTCCTCACGTCTTCTGTGTATCTGTTGCCCAGTGTTCGCTCACAGCATCATCCTGTTTGCACATTTCAATCATATTCATCAAGGGAAAGTTCCTCGCCGATGAATTCAATCGCGCAACACCGCAGCGAGAGTAAGAGCGGCTCATGCTCGGTTTCATTGCTGCTTTCACACACTTGCCTGCAGGCAACCACACAATATCGCACGACTGCGCACGTGTTCACGAAAGGAGTTTCGACTTGCGCTTGGCTGCGTGCTGCCGTATATGTTCACGTGTGCTTGCTTGTGTTCTTTCAACAGGGTTGGCTGCGACACATTCAAGTTTGCCTCTTCAGGGATGCTTGCCTACCTCGGCCACTACGGCGGTGCGACCAGTCTGAAACATACATGCAAGAGAGAGAGAGTGTGTGTGTGTATGTGTGTGTGAGCGAGTGAGTGAGTGAGTGAGGGAGTGAGTGTGTGTGTGTGTGTGCATGAGTGAGTGTGTGTGAGTGAGTGAAGGAGTGTGTGTGTGTGCGTTGTTACACCTGCATTTGTAGACCTGTGTATCTCTTGCTGTCTCGCGCACCATCTCTTCCTATTTCTGCCCTCACCCGTGTTGCACCGCATCGCAGGTGTTGCTAAGATTGCCGTGCCAACACCTGACGACGTCACGAATGTCAGTGAAAATCAACCCCCGTCATCACAACCACCAACGAAATGTTTCACTTTCGTTTGCTTGCCAGGCCCCTTCGTTCTGGACAGCTCAGCCACTCCTCTCGAGGATTCACATAGCACATGACGTTTGCACTGCTTGCACCGTGTGCACAGGTGAAGTTGTCTGGGCTGACTGCGTGGCTGGTGTGGCGGATGGGTTACTTGACCAAGCTTGGCCGCTGGAGGAACAGGCTACAGGTGAGGGATGGGGCTGCAACAGCCAAGAGGCTGTACGCTTGTGCACCGGAGTTCATGCCTGCCTCGCACATAACACAGACACTCACGATGCATCACGTGTTCACCAACCCTGCACACACGAAAACAGGTGCCGTTCGACTGGCTGAAAACAATGATCTTTGGCCGCGATCCAACAAAGTTCTGACAACTGCGCAGTGCCGTGTCATTCGTCAGTGATCTCTCATTTGTCCATCATGCCATGCACGCAAAGCCAAACCAAAATGAAATGGAGTCTTGACCACAAAACGAGATGGAACAACACACGCACACACACACACACACACAAACGCAAGCGTGTGTTGGGAACATTCAATTCAATTCGTCTGTTAATGTAAACATGCTCGCACACCTCTCCCCGCACTCCGCTGCACAAACGTACACAAAGCGCACACACACACACACACACACACACACACACACGCGCGCGCGCGCGCGACTTCAAGTCGTGGCAGGGGCTGCTTCTTGTTGCTGCGATTGTGCCGAGCCTTCTTCCTCACTCTCGTCCGGCAACATCAGGTTGTTCGTCTGTTCAGAGAAGAACGAATTGACAGCTGTGAGGTGGGCGAAAACACAAAAAACAAATTTGCACCTAGCAGGAACCGCAAGCCACTGCACACACACACACACACACACACACACACACACACACACACACACACACACACGTAAACACACACACACACACACACACACCTGGATCTCCAGCGCGCGGGCAAGGGTGTGCAGCTGCGCTTTGCGCTGTGGCAGGGTGCGACTCAGCTCCGCAATCTCGTCCATTGCCTTTGCCAGCCGATCGAGCAGCTCTCGCGTTGCTTCTGCAAGCACGACAACACAAAGCCCGGAGCCATATTGCGGGGGTGAGCAGGACGATCGAGGAGCCAGTCCATCGTCAAACAGAGAGACATCACACAACACACAAAGAGCCCTCAGTAACAACAGCAGCAGCAGCAGCAAGCGCGGCTGACCTGATGGCGCTGCTGTGTCGCCTGCTGCTGTTGGAGCAGATGCTGTCTCGTCTGCCTTGGCAATGGCCTCAGCAGTTGGCACTTCCAGCGGCGGGCACTCCGCCAGCTTTGCGTCGATGGCTTGCGGGGTTTGTGCGCGGTGCTGGGTGACGCGGGAGATGAGCTCGTACACCTCCAGCTGGATCGCCTTGAGCTGTGCAGAGAGGTCGCGATCACGCGGCGCCGTGTCTGCCATCAAATATCAACGCAAACCAAGCAGTGCCGTGACAAACAAGGTGGTGGGTTGGAGGCAGGATGGGTGAGCACGCTCGTCTCACGACGAACACAGGACTCGATGCCGCTTGGACAAGGCGTTCACAGCAAGCGGACCACAAAAGCACAGGCTGTGCCTCACCGTCATCTTTGAGGGTGTAGTCCCAAGGTGAGCCACCAACGGCGACGTTGGATCGCAACAACTGGAAGGCCTCCCTTGATACCTGCGCAACACGCACATGCCACGGGCACGACGTCAATGACCAAAGGGGCGTTTGGCGCTGCAGACGCAGCGCAAGGACGATACACAACACTCGCTTGTTTACTCTGTTTCTCTCCCCGGCCCCTGCCCCCAACTCTCTCTCTCTCTCTCTCGCGCGCACACACACACACATACATATTCCCTAGTTCCCTCTTCCATTCACACACACACACGCTCTCTCTCTCTCTCTCGCTCCTGACCCCCTCCCAGTCACACACACACACACACACACACACACACACACAGACCTGTTGCATGTGGTAGAGGAAGGCCTTCTTTGCCTTTGGGTTCTTCCATGTGCGGCGCGCAGCGTATGCTTCGCTTGCAGAGGCAAAGCGGCGCTCCAGCTTCCCCACCACAGCTTGGCTTCCCAGTGTCACTCGCGACATGGTGTGGCAAACAGGGGGAGGGATGGCAGGTGCAGCGAGGAAAGAAAGAAACAACCCCAACAAGAGGAACAGATGAGCAGCAAGGCTCTGGAACACACCCAATGTGGTGTGACAATGTGACTTAATGCGATACGCACAGCGAGACAACCAACCACAACAGCACCAACCACAACAGCACCAACCACAACAGCACCAGCACCACCAGCACCACTTTGTTCAGTCAGTCGCCGTTGGTGGAAAAAACGGGCGGTTGTGAAGATTTGTTGGAGACATTCACCAATTCTCGTTAACGACAAGGAGCTCAGTCAAACAACAACTCAAACCACCACAACAGCCATCATCTCAGCCACATCCATCTATCCATATCCATCCAGCCAGCAACCAAGACAGACTCGAGTTCATTCCCCATCTAACCACTCTCCTCTTCCTCCCTTCTCAACTCTGACGACTTGGGGACGCGCTTTTGGTGTTTCACCTTTGTTGACACAGCTACTCCAGCCATGGTGAGCCCTGCGCGTGGACTGGCACGCTCGCATGTGTTTTTTGGGTGTGTTGTTGCTCGTTCGCGTTCTGCTCACGCATGTGCTCTGCGCTTCACCAACTTCAGGCACACCGCAAGACATCACTCGCCAAGAAGCGCAACTCAGGTGCGTGGCATGACCTAGCCGTGATTGTCTCTGGTATTGCCCGCAATTGTGTTTTGTGTTGCTTTGAGCCCTCGTGAGCAACGCTGGCAAGACAACCATATGCCTTCATCTCCACCCTTCCCTTCTTGCGTTCTCCCCCGTTCTCAATCTTGCCGTCTTGCCTCCTTGCTTGTAGCCGTTCGCTCTGAGCTGACGGAAGAACAGAAGCTTGAGATCCGTGAAGCGTTTGAGCTCTTCGACACAGATGGCTCGGGGTCTATCGATGCAAAAGAACTCAAGGTATAGTGTGTGTGTGTGTGTGAGCGTGCTCTGTGTGTGTTTGAGTGTGCGCTCTGTGTGTGTGTGCGTGTGTGTAAGAGCGTGTGTTTGAGTGTACGCTCTCTCTCCCTCTCTGTGCGCGCGCGTGGGTGCTTGTATTTATACACACCGGCTAGTCTGCGCCATTGTGTGCGCTGTCTCGTACGTGTGTAGCTCTTGTCTTCTGTCAAGCAGCACAGTTAACCCTCACGCACTCACTCCGCCTGCGATGCATTGGTGCGTGCCACGGAGAGCAGGTTGCAATGCGTGCACTCGGGTTTGAGCCGAAGAAAGAGGAGATCAAGAAGATGATTTCAGACGTTGATCGTGACGGCTCTGGGTCCATCGACTACAACGAATTCCTGCAGATGATGACACAAAAGATGGTGCGCACGTGTGTGTGTGTGTGTGGGAATGTGCGTGCGTGTGTGTGTTCACATGTGTATGCACGCATCAGTGTGTACATGTATGTGTGCGTGAACCTGCATGTATGCGCGTGTTTGTCAATGTTATCCGGTGCTTTATGTGCCACAATGCGGAGCGCTACCATCTGCCACCAACCATTTCTCGGCCATGCCTGATGTGTGCCCCCTTTGCTTCTCGTGTTTGTAGAGCGAGAAGGACACAAAAGAGGAGATTCTGAAGGCCTTCAAGCTGTTTGACGACGACAGCACGGTTCGTTTCAATTCGCCAAACTGAAACACGTGCTTTGATATGTCTGGCGATGCAAGCCTGGCAAGAATGAAATGGCGGGGGGGGGGGGGAAGGTCTGATCAACCTCTTGACCCATTGCTTCCTTCTTCTCATACTCTTGACTAACTCACACACACACACACACACACACACACACACACACACACACACACACACACACACACACACACGTACACTCCCTCCCTACCTTGGACCGTCGCGTGCATGTGCAGGGCAAGATCAGCTTCAAGAACCTGAAGCGGGTTGCGCAGGAGCTTGGGGAGAGCCTCTCTGACGAGGAGCTGCAGGAGATGATTGACGAGGCAGACAGAGACGGCGACGGCGAAATCAACCAGGAGGAGTTCTTGAGAATCATGAAGAAGACAAACCTCTACTGAACACACGCACACACACACACAAACACACACATACACACGCACACCTGCAGCACCAAGATAGCCACTGCCATCAGTGCGCCATTGGACCATGTTGCTCATTTAGTCCGTCATTTTTTTCGCCCATTCACTGGCCATTGATTCTTCCACGCTTACTTGCTCACTTTGCTTACATCCACTCCATCACGCCTCCTTGCTGTTGATGCTCATGCATCCCCCCCCCGTGCGCTTGTTAGACACACCACACGCCCTTCTTACCTCATGAATCCCTCCCTCTCCCCTCTCTCGCCGCCACCACCTGCTTCGTTTCCGCGTCTTGATTCGCTTCTTCTCTCTCCGTTCCATCTTGGGTCTGTTTGCTCGCTTGTCAATATATTCATACCTATGTGACCCGAAACAACTTCCCACAAGATACACAATGCTTGCTTGATATTGTAAACACACACACACACACGCGCACACACACACGCACACACACAAAGAGGGCTGGCTACTCTTCTGGCTGGCGACTGTGGCTGCGCCTGTGCTTGTGCTTCTTCTTCTTCTTCTTGTGACGGTGTGATCGCTTGTCCTTTTCTGCTCTGGTTCCGCCTTCATCATCATCATCACCACCACCACCACCATCATCATCATCACCGCTTCGCTTGCTTCGCTTGCGTCTGAGTTCGTGCGCTGAGTCACCATCACCACCACCAGCACTGTCGTCGCTGTCACCCCCGTCACTGCTACTCTTGTGGTGTCGGCGCTTGCTCTTCTTCTTCTTCTTCTTCTTCTTCTTTTCTCTCTTGTGTCGCTTCCGACTCTCCTTCTGACGCGCCTTTCTTCTCTTCTCCCTCCTCCGTTCATCACCATCACCATCGCCATCACCAGGGTTGCCGTTGTCGTCATCGTCACCACTGTTGTCGTTGTGCCGGTGTTTGTGTCTGTGTTTGTGTCGCCTCCGTCTTCGTCTTCGGTCGTCGCTCTCGCTGCTGCTGTCATCGTCACTGCTGCTGCTGCCGCTGCCACTGCTGCTGCTTGTGCTCTGCAAAACCACACGAACAAGACACCAGACATGCCCACAGCATGCGCAAAAAAGGTGCGAGAAGACGGGCGTGTTCGAGGTGAACAAGAGGCTGAAAGCACGCAGAACACACACTCAGAGGGAAAGCACACTTTCAAACGCAAACACGCACAAGCTTGCGCGCGCGCACACACACACACACATTCACACACATACACACACATTCACACATACACACACACGCACAAACATCAACACACACGAACGCATGAAGCAGCGCACCTCCTTCAGCAGAGACTTGAGAGCAGACACAGTGCTGCCGCCCGTTCGTGTGTGCAGCGTTGACGACAGCGACGATGAGGACGACGCGTGGCGCTGCCTGATTGCCGCCTGCGAGGACCTGTTGTTAACGGGTGTTTTGTGTGTTTTGTGTGTGTGTGAATGTATGTGTGTGTGTGAATGTGTGTGTCAGTGACAACAGCATCCGATGGAATCTGATCAAGCACGGTGATCATGGTCACTGGCATGATTGCACAATCCATCACGCACTGCATATGAACTGACGATGTCTTCATGGATCCGAACGTTGCGCGCGCTGCTGTTGTTGCCCTCTCTGTCGCTGCCGCCCGTCGCTCAAGCGTCCGCTGCACACACACACACACACACACACATATGTTGGGGAGCACGTTATAAGCGGCGGGCGGCGGCAGACAGCAAAGAATGCAGCTGCCACAACACATCTACATTAACACACACGCGCGCGCATACAAACACAAGCACACACGCGCATACACACACACACACACACACACACACACACAATTGCGTACGTGAATGGAGCGAATGAGGTTGAGTGCTTCGCTGCGTCGCGGTCCCATCAGCTGCGCCGCTCGCGTCAGCACCTCCGCCGCTTCAACCAACTGACATCGATCGGTGTGGGGAGAGGGAGTATGCGAATGGATTGGTTTGTTGTGGTGTTGGTTTGCGTTATTGTGTTTGAGTACATTGTTCAAGTTTGTGCATGCGTTTGTGCATGTGTGCATGAAAGTGTGAGACACACACGCCAGATCCAAGCGACGATCGAAAAAGTGGTGTGTGCCAGCTTGTGCAGTGCTGTTGTGCAACCGACACCTAACCGCACAAGCCTTCCCGCGCCACGAACGCATTTACATCCCCCCTCACACACAAGTCCAACACATTTCCGGGAACAGACCTTGTCTTTGTGCTGGAGGTCGCTTGCCTGTCGCATGAGCGTGATCTCCAAGTACAACGTGGCGTTGCTGTGGTCTGGATTGAGGGAGAGGGCGTCTCGAAGCATCTTCACAGCACCCTCAAACTTGTTCCTGGGACATGCGTGGGTATGCATTTGCGTGGTGTGGAGTGGGTGTATGTACATGCACGATGGGTGATGAGGGAGACAGATGCAGTCGGGTGGTGGGAACTCGAGGCACGCGACTGTGGCGTCCACACAACTAGCACAACAAAACAGGAACTGCGAGCAAACAAGTGAAAAACGCACTGCTTTGTGAAGAGGGTGCCGAGCGCGACCATTGCCTCGACGTTCTTGGGGTCAAGAGCCATGGCGCGGTTGTAGCAGCGTCTCGCATCGGCAAACTTGCCCTCCTTCTGATACTGAACACCACGCGCAACTGTACATGTGTGTGTGGGAATGTGTGTATGCGCAGGTGAGGGTGTGTGTGTGTGTGTGTGTGTGTGTGTGTGTGTGTGTGTGTGTGTGTGTGTGTGTGTGTGTGTGTGTGTGCACGTGGTGGAAGCGGAATGACAGCATCCATCAACACGTGATATGACCAACGAATCAACGCGTGATGTGGCCAACAACACGGCAACAGCTGCACCGCACCTGATTGCATCGAGAGGTCTTTGTCTTGCTGTTTCCGCAGCGCTAGAAACGTGTCGCTCTGCAACAGCACACGTGACACGTTCCGGTGCAAGTCAGCAGCAAGTCAAAGCACACGTGTAGCAGGCCATAACAGCATACGTACAACAGAGCCAAACGCACGCACACCTCTGATGGCTTAAAGCTGTGGATGATGGAAAGGAGGCTGCCACCATCCGTGTTGCCGAATTGGGCAATGTACTCCTCGTTCCTGCAGAGCACACACACACACACACACACACACACACACACACACACACACACACACACACACACACACACACACACACACACACACACACACACACACACACACACCACACACCACACACCACACAGGACAGAGAAAAGCAAGGCCGTGCCACATTGCAATCGAGGGTCGTGCGTGGGTGTGAGGTTGAGCAGCAGCAGGGAGGCGGCAACCACCCACATATCACACTCACTCCGAACATACGTTTCAGGGTTGAGATATGCGCTGGATAACTGCAATGACGAGAGGTAGGACGCGCCCTTCCCCGAAATGATGCCCAGTGGAAGCATGTATCCATATGGAGCATGGTGGTGCAATACACTGGCGACGGCGGTGTGCACACCCCATTTGGGGCGAAGGCGAGCTGCAACCCGCCCCGCATCGACAATGACTGCGCGCGCCACGTCGCCAACCCGCAGCTTGTGCCGCGACTGCAGCGCCAACGGGACCACAACCTCAGCGGCATCCTACGATTTCGAACAAAGCGACAACGAACAAGAAGCAGCAAAGTAAGGTCAAGGGAGCTGGCTGTGAGCGCGGCCCCGCGCCGCCGCAATGACGTGGTGCCATCGCCAGCCCAGTGCTAACTGTGATCCTTGAACTGTTGCGTACCCTCCCCATTCCCGCAAACCCTACATCTAACTGCTCCTCCCTCCCTTCCTACACCAACACACACATACATACACACATACACACACACACACACATATATATATATATATATATATATATGCACACACACACTCACACACACACACACTCAGACACACACACTCAGACACACACACTCAGACACACACACGCACACACACACACGCACACGCACACTCACACACACACACACTCTCTCTCTCCCTCTCTCTGTGGAACGAAGCAGTAAGCAATTACGCATGCACCTTGAAGTTGTGTGACAGTCCGGATGCTGTGAGGCGTGCTGTTGCAGAGCATCGGGCGCCTGCGTCGTCTGCAGTGTCCACGACCAAGATCCGCACGACCGTGCCGGGAACGAGGCGTGCAACCTCGAGCCGTTCGCTGTTTACGGGCTCCTCCCGAAACCAGTCCAGCACGGGGGCGTAAGAGCCAAGCTCCAGTGTCACCGGCACCTGGTCTTGTGCATCGGTGGTTGCAGTGGCTGCAGTGGCTGCAGGGGTTGCAAGGGTTGCAGTGGTTGCAGTGGTTGAAGTGGTTGCAGTGGCTGTTGCGGATGCGGCCTGGATGGCAAGATCAGCTCCACTTCGAGCATCAAAGGTGCTTGCGTTGTCCACGCGTGGCCGTAAGGTCTGCTTGAGCCTTGTCAGGACTTTCGCTGCCGTGTCATGCACCTGCGCCACTGCGGGTGTTTCTCCGCCCTGTGCAGCAGTGCCAGTGTCATTGATCTTGGGTCTTACCACAGCGCCTGTGGAGGCCCTATCATCATCTTCCTTCCCTGCAACAGCCGCACCACCCACGTTGGGGGCGTCTTCCATCTTCCCCCTCCTGCCGCTCCTGCCACTGCTGCCGCTGTGATCCCTGCTGCCTCGACCCCTGCTGTGATCCCTGACGTGACACAAAGGACACAAGCAAGCAAGCCAGCAAGCAGCACGTTCGTCCGCACTGTCGCTTGGTGGGGTGGATGTGCCAATTGCACGGTGCAGTGAGTTGCAATTTGCAACGTATGGTACAGACACTGAAAAAAGGTGTGGGGTTCTCCAAGCTGCTGAAAATCTGTGAAAATCTCCCCGATCTGTATGCATGTGTTGTCTCTCGCTTGTCTCTCGTCTTGGCTTGTGCCTTTTCCATCATCGACTTGTGCGACCCGAAACGACACGCGGCAGCGACGCTTACCCCGCTTCAGTGGAGGACTTGAGGACGGTCACACACACACCTTCATCACCAAACACCAACAATGGCTGAGGAGCAGCAGACCATGGACACCACCCCCGAGCAGGTTGAGACCCCTGCCGTCGAGGCCGAGCTCACCAACGAGGAGGCTCTGCGCCTTGTGCTTCGCGATGCCGTGCATTCTGATGGCATCGTCCGCGGTCTGCGCGAGGTGGCCAAGACCATCTCCCGCGGTGACGCCATCTTCGCCGTTGTCGCCAACGACTGCGACGAGAAGAACATCACCAAGCTCATCGAGGCCCTCTGCGCCGAGCGCAAGGTTCCTTTCGTCACCGTCGAGAGCAAGAAGCAGCTCGGCGAGTGGGCTGGTCTCTGCAAGATTGACAAGGACGGTAACCCCCGCAAGGTTGTCAAGTGCAGCTGCGTCGCCGTCAAGGTTCGTGCAGACGGCGCTCGTGTGTGGCTGTGTGCTTCTGTTTGTGTATGGCTGTGTGCTTCTGTTTGTTTGTTTGTGTGTGTGTGTGTGTGTTTGTGTGTGTGTGTGTGTGCTTCTGTTTGTGTGTGTGTGTGTGTGTGTGTGGCTGGCAGGTCTCTGGATGGTTGGCGTGTTCCTCTTTTGTTGGGTGCCATTTGTATTTCTTCCTTGCCTTGGCACCCTCCTCCCCTCCTCCCTTGCTTCCTTGCTTTCTCCTTTTCTTCGCCATCCCCTCCCCTGCTGTTTCCCTCCACAACCCTCCCCCCCTACTTCTTTTTCCTTCTATCGTTTCCCCCCTTTCCACTTCCACTCTGGTTTTGCTTTCCTCGAGTGCGAACGGTCTTGATGAGAATGGCTTCAAGCTCCCTCTTCTGAGGCTGCCGAAAAGCGTGTAGCATCTGCGGAGAACTTCAATCCGGAATCTTAGTTGTCTGAACCAACGACGCGCAACCCTCCCTGTCTCGCCTTATCCATCTTTCCTTCTCTGCTACGTTCTTTTACCCCCTACCCCTCTTCCCTTTCTTCTGTCTCAGTTTCCCTTTCCCCCTCCTTCCTTCCATCGTTCCCCCCCCCCAACTTCCACTCTTGTTTTGCTTTCCTCGAGTGCGAACGGTCTTGATGAGAATGGCTTCAAGCTCCCTCTTCTGAGGCTGCCGAAAAGCGTGTAGCATCTGCGGAGAACTTCAATCCGGAATCTTAGTTGTCTGAACCAACGACGCGCAACCCTTTTCTCCCCCTACTTTGCGTTTCAACACGCCCTTCCTCCTCTTCTTTCTTCTCCCCTTTTTCTCGTTTTGCATTCCCCCTGCCCGATATTTATTTCTTTGTGTTGTTTGCCAATCACCTCACCCTCACCATCACCGCCACGACGGACTGTTGTTGCTGATCCCTTTGCATCCGCTCACACACATTATGACTTTTGCTTGCTCGGCTTGCTCTTCTTGTTTCACAGGCCCTGCCCGACTCCCGCGCCCTTGCCAAGCTCCGCGAGAGCCTCAAGGCATAAGACGCTCCCTGGTGCTCCAGTCCAGCTGTCTCCCTTCCCCGTGAGAGTGCTGTGGTTTCTCTTTTGACTGACTTGCTCGCTCGTCGTATTCAATAAAAGAACCCGCCTCTTGCAACCCCTCTTTTAACTTCCGCACAAAACCACCAGGCAGAGGGAGTGGAACACTGCGTCACATCGCAACACGGGGGGTCACTCGCGCGCACACACAAAGCTTCTTGACACCACGTCACACCGTTGTTTATGTGTCATGTGTATTTCACGTCATGTCAAACAACAACGACAACCACAACAGGAAGCAACACAAAGTTGTTCACGTATGTCAGCAAAGCACAACACACACACACTCAGACACACACACACACAAACAACCTGAGCTATCTCGGTCATAGAGGAACAGGAAAGGTGGGGGGGGGACTGGAGAGACGAGGCGTTGATTGGTTGAGAAGCGGGCAACGAAACAGACAAGCCCAAGCATCACGTTGAGAAGGAGAGAGAGAGAGAAACGAGAAAGAAATGGAGGGGGGGGGGGGTTAAAAGGCACGAAGAACAACAGCAGCAGCAGCAGCAACAACGAACACCAACTTACACAGACGCAAAAACTGAACCAACCAGTCGCACCACTACATAATCGCCGACGCGCTGAAAATGCTACAGCCAGCTAACGAGCAAGCCGGGGAGCTAGTCGCTGTATTCCTTCTCCTCGTGTTTGCCGACCTCTGTCGACTCTTCTCTGTTGAGGAACGTCTTGACCACATACACAGCGGCTGCAAGGCCGGCGCCCGTCAAGCCACCAAACGCCGCCGCGCGTGGACCAGCTGTGTGTGTGTGTGTGTGTGTGTGTGTGTGTGTGTGTGTGTGTGTGTGTGTGTGTGTGTGTGTGTGTGTGTGTGTGTGTGTGTGTGTGTGTGTGTGTGTGTGTGTGTGTGTGTGTGTGTGTGTGTGTGTGTGTGTGTGTGTGTGTGTGTGAGCAGTCGTAGTCATAGCGACAACAACACAGCGACGAACTGACAACTTTGTTCAGCACACGCAACTGCACGCGCACATAATTGTCATGGAATACGCACAGGTGATGCGGAAGAGGGTGCCTGTTGCGACTGCAGCAGCGACGTCGTTAACAATGTCGTCCTTTTCGCCTCTCGCCTTGATGATACCACCGTTGATGGAGTGGAACATGACAGCTGCAGCACAACGCAAGGCAAAAACAGTGGTCGTGAACAACACGCTCCCAGCCTCGACAAAGCAAAACAATACGAGCGCACACACACACACACATATGAGGTGAACGTACAGAGGACGGCGAGGGTGTTTCCGAGGAAAGGACCGCGCTTGCCGACGGCATTGAGAACGGTGGTCACCCTTAACCGGTTGCTGGTAGCAGCAGGGTGCCTCAAACCTTCAACAACACCATACAAGCCACCACCAATGGTACCTAACAGAAACAAACACACAGCACATGCATACGCAGCACATGCATGAGCAATGGCAGTTTTGGGGGGGGGGGTTGCAGCACACACACATACACACACGCACAAGCACACACTGAAACACACACACAAGCAGGGGAGACGCGTTCACGCACATACATAAATTACACGTAGCTCACCTGCCAGGTACGAGACACCGGTGCTGTACGACATGCGCTCGAGCAGTGACCGTGACTTCTCCGCGCTGCTCGGGAACAGAAAGTCGGGCTGTGTGTTGCGTATGTGCGTGTGTGTGTGTGAGTGTTGCGTGCGTGGGTGAGTGCAAGGGGTGGTAGGCTATGCGGTGTGTGTCTGTGTATGCTTGTGTATGTGTGTATGTGTGTATGTGTTTCCAATCAACTGCGCATGCACGTGGTTGTGCAAAGGAACCGACCTGGTTCAGCGTCTGTGCCTCATTGCCAAGTGCGAGGTAGGGGGACTGGTACGCTTGTGTCATCATGGCTGTGTGTGTTCATGTACAAAGGCGTTGCATGAGCGCATCGTGCTGGTGAGAAAAGAGAGAGAGAACCAACCCCAAAACAAAAAAAGCACCATGGCGAGCCTACAAAACAGACGGCCAGCAACGACAGACGAGCACTGCAAGCCCAAACAGGCACCCTTCCAGCAAGCGCGCTTGGTTTCGTTTCGTGTTTGTTTCATGTTCCTTTTCGCGCGGCTCTCACCTTGTGGGTCGAAGGGCTGGTAGCCGCCAAAGCTGGTGGGCTGGCCAAAGCCAGTCGGGGACGCGGCGCCGGTGGCGTGTGAAAGGTCATGTGCGGTATCATCACCCATGTTGGCGGTTTGTGTTCTGCGGGTAGGGGGGGGGAGGAGAAGACGACCTGCTTCCGCTTCACGCGTGGGTGTGTTGTTGCAGGGACAGGGCGCGACGCGACGCGACGGGATGGGAGAAGGGGTTCCTGGCTGTACAACAACAACAACAGCAACAGCAACAACAAACTACAAGCAGACAGGAGGAGACAGCGACGGCTGGTGGCAATGTGCAGCGTGCTGCTCTTGTGTTGTTGCTTGTCGCGCTTGCGTCCACGTGAGGCAAAAGGAAGAAGGAAAAAGCAAAGCGGAAAGCGATTGCAGAAGGTTGCCCAGCCAGCAAGCCCATATTTTTCGCTGACTCGGCGATTTCTTGCGACGCCTGAATTCAGTCGTCGTAACGCGGGAAGAACAAGCAGAGAGGCAAAAGGATGAGCGAGCCAAAGCGGCAGCACGTTGCGGGCAGCAGCAGCAGCCGCGACCACGCTGATGTTGCTGGTGATGCTGGTGTTGGTGTGAGGGAGGAGGGTGTGCGTGATGCCGTGGACCGCCATGCCACAACAACACAAGGGCAGCAGCAGCAAGACGGGCAGCAGCAGCAACTGAGCCAGAAACAACAAGAGGAGCGCAAGAAGAAGATGGCAGAGTACCATGAGAAGAAGAGCGCCTACCGCCGCAGGTACATGTCACTTCCCATACAATCTTGTGCTCGCGTGATGGAAAGAATAAGGCGTCATGGACAGACACAGCATCTGCTCACCTCGTACATGCGTGCATGTGTGCATGTGTTTGCTGGTGCTCACATCAGGTGCCCACATTCACATCAGGTGTTCACATTGGGTGTTCACATCAGGTGCTCACATCAGGTGCTCACATCAGGTGCCCACATTGGGTGTTCACATTAGGTGTTCACATCAGGTGCCCACCACCCATCTGTCGATTAACCCCCGCTCGCTTCCTCATGTTGCTTGTTGTGTTGCGCATAGGGCGTTGGACATGTCCGTTTGCAACAAGTGCGGCAAGAAGAGCGAGTTTACCCTGCGGAAACTGGACGCTTACTGCAGGTTCCAACATAACACACACACACACACGCAGCGCTTGTGCGTGCCTGGGAAGCTTCGCCTTGATCCTACATGCCTCGCATTGCCACCCAAACACGCGCCAGCTCACACGCCAATGCACACCACTCGCACACATTCAAAAGGGAATGCTTCCGTGACGCCTTTATTCGAAAGGCGCGCAGGGACATGGGACAGCATCGCATCATGAAGCAGATGGAAAAGGTGCTCAACCGATACGTATGTGTGTGTGTGTGTGTGTACGCGTGTTGGTGTTCACATTGGGTCCATTGTATTCTTGAAGGGAGCTTGTGAGGTTGTGGCAGTCAGTCAGCTTGCGCTATGTGTGTGCCAGTCGCTGTGCTTCACCTACCCACCTCTGTCTCCCCCCTCCCCGATTTCCTTCACTTCCATGGCTGCTGATATTTGTGGCTTCTTCCTGCACTGAATACCTCTTCCCTTTGGCTTATGGGATCGCAGGTGATGCTCGCGTACTCGGGCGGCAACAGGTCCTCGTGTCTGCTGGCACTGATCCAGGAGGTGAGGGTCTTCACGAAACACAGCACCATACGACGCTGTGTGATGTGCTGGGCGGCGTTGCCTTTGACCAGAGCTTTCCACCTGCTTTTCTCCGTAGCGCTCTACATCCGACACAATGCGGCATGAGCATGCTTACCCTGTCTTCCTTTCGTTGTTCGTCTCGCCCACTGTAGATGACACACGCCAAGAAGCGACCTCTTCGCATCAACCCGTTTGTCGTCCATATTGACGGTGCGTGCCCTCACTTGCCAGTCACATGCAGCAATCTTGCACCTGCTGCTCAGCTCTGACTATCTTATCACACACACACACACACACACTCACTCACTCACTCACTCACTCACGCACTCACTCACACACACACACACACACTCACTCACTCACTCACTCACTCACACACACACACTCACTCACTCACTCACTCACTCACTCACACACACTCACACACACACACACACACTCACTCACTCACTCACACACACATACACACACAGAGCGCACGGTGTTGCCCGAGCAGCAGCGTGCTCATGCGCCCACCAGCGAAGCAATGCGAGAGGTTGCGTCTCGCTACGGCTTTGAGCTGCACGTGTATGCCCTGGAGGACCTGTTTGCAGCTGACCTGCGTCGTGCACAGGACGTGCGAGATGGCACGGCGCAACAGCTGCGCAGCGTGTTTGCAGCGCTCAAGACACCAACAGCAAAAGAAGAAATGCTGCGAATCCTCAGGTGTGCGGGTGTGAACGCGTGTTGGTGTGTACGTCTGTGGGTGTGTGTATGTGTGTATGTGTGCGCGCGCGCCCTAAGCAGAGCCGTGATGAAAGCTGGTGTGTTCATTTCTCTTCTTTTACCTTTGCGCTCCTTCAGGTTTGATCTCTTGGTGCGAATTGCACATCTGCACGGCACTACAAAGGTGCGTCTAGAATGAATTGTATGTGTATTGTGCATGTGTATTGTGCATGTGTATGTATGTGTCGGTGTTCGTGTATGTGTGCGCTAATGTGCTCGTATGTGTGCGTGTTCAAGTGCACAACTCACCTGCGCTGCTGTTGTTGTCGTTGGATGTCGACTGCAGGTGATGCTTGGCGACTGTGCAACGCAGCTCGCCATGCACTGCCTCACTCTTCTCACACGTGGGCGTGGAGCAGCCATCGCACACTTGACCGTACGTCTGCGTACATGTGCTTGTGCGTGTGCTTGCGCCTGTGCTTGTGCTTGTGACAATGCTTGACATGTTGTCTGCCTACCTGCTACCAACTTGCAGTGCTTTGCATACTGCCCAAGTTACATCTCGTAACGTTCCATTCCGCTCCAAAACAACCAAACACACACACACACACACGCACACGTCACAATCCTTCTCCCGCATGAGCAGGACTTCTCGACGGAGCGAGAGGGCGTCCACTTTATGAAAGCGTTTCGTCTGCTCTCCGCAAAGGAGGTTGCGCTGTACAACTACACCGGCAGCGTGCCTGTTCTCGGCCGCACTTGCTTCACAACAAAGGTCACCGCGCAGTGTTTGCTTGCTTGCTTGCTTGCTTGAGCGTGGGAAACATGGGTTGACATGACTGTTACTGTCCCCGTTCATTCTCATCCAAATGCACACACACACACACACACACACACACACACACACACACACACACACACACACACACACACACACACACACACCGCTGCAGGCCAATTTCAACGCGAGCTACGAGCGGTTGACGGAGCATTTTATTGCGGGCCTGGAGGTGGATTTTCCATCCACTTCAGCCTCTGTCATTCGCATCGCGCAGAAGCTGACACCGTCACGCGAAACCAACTCCTCGACCAGCACCACAACACCAAGTGCTACCACGGACACCAGCACCACCAGCACCACCAGCACCACCAGCACCACCAGCAGCAGCGTTGACGTGTGTGTGCTGTGCGGTGATGCCATTGAGCCGCGAGACATCAATCGCCTCGCAAACCATCACAAGCCAATCACCGTCAACGTACGTGAATGTGCACGATGTGTGTGCATGTGTGTACATGTGAATGATGTGTGCTTGTGTGTGTGTGTATGTCTGTGCGTGTATATGCGTGTACGTATGTGTGTGTGTGTGTGTGCGCGCTCATGTGTGCGTTCCAGTTGAAGGCAAGCGTGTGGTCACATGGCTTGCACCCCCTCACCATCCTTGATGGTGTGCCGGCCACGCTGCCAGGTGCCAATTGGCTCCCCGGCGACCGCTACCTCGACGTGCTGCAGCTCTGCGTGCGAGTGCTCCTCAGACGCGCGTACGACTGCTGTCGAACCATCCACACCAACCACATCGCCAGCACCGATGAGTGCAATGACGAACCTTGTCAAGCTTGTTTGCTACGGTTGCAGGAACCTCCTACAACAAGCGGTGCGGTTTTTTTTTTTTTTTACATGTGTGTGTTTGCGTGTGCGCTGTCTCCTTTTGTCTCATGGACATTCTCCCACCCACTTTGTCTCGTCCAACCCTTCCAACAACAACAACAACAACCACCACCTCTGCGCATTCAACTGCACACACACACACACACACAACAGGACGGCGCATCACTTCAGCTGCCGCACATCCAACCTCGCGTCGCACAGCGCGTCTCCAGGTCCGTCCTACAAAAAACACACATGACACATGCGAACACACAACACACACAACACACAACGCACGACGCACGCATGCACACACACACCCACGTGCACACGACGCACACACGCACGCACACACACACAACACACCCACACACATTCACACACCACACATTAAACACAACACATATAAACACCACATATAAACACCACACATCACACACACACAGCGCCCACGCCCACTCCTTCGCTCACACCACGGTCCTTCACACTGCCGCAGGCAACGCATGAAGGAAGAGATTCAGGAGTTCTTGTTGAGCGACAGTGACAACGACGACGATGCTGACGATGATGGTGGTGATGTTGACACAAAGGCGGACACTAGTCATCGGGACTAATGACGACGAAAACAAGCAAGGAAGGAGACACAGATGTGGTTGTTGGGAAGACATTGGTTGTAGGCCCTAGCGCGTGTATTGTTGTATGTTCCCAGGTTGTGTCGTTTCAGCAGTGGTTTGGTTTGGTTTGGTTTGGTGTGAATTCATTTATGCTAGCAAGCAAGCAAGCAGAACAACCTTACACTTTGCTCCCCTTGCGCTTTGAAGAGGATAACACCATAAATGTTGGAATCAACCATATTGTCACAAACATCACATCAAATCATGTCACGTAATGTAACATAACGAAACACAACAACACATCAGATCACCCGCCAATCAAAGCTACCACAACAACACAACACACACGAACAACACCACCACACACTGTTCAAATGTCCGACTGCGGAAAGTCTGCAAGCAGCTGCACAGATGTGCCCTCCGCCACCACATCACGGGCATGCCCACGACCAGCCCCGTTTGTGGGCGGCGATTGGGAAGAGGAGGAGGAGGAGACTGACGGCGCAACGACATCAAAGGGGGCGAGGTGGTCGCCGTGCAGCACAAGATCATCATCACTATCGTCGTCAGACAGCAGCTCTGTCAACTTGACGCGCTGGTACGACACGCGCGCACGATTTGCCCGGCCCTGCAATGAATCGTGATCGTAGTGATGGTGACGGTGGCGTTGATGGTGAGATGTTGTGGTGTGCGTGAACGTGGCAGTCAGTCACACACATACCATACATACACACGCACACACACACTCTCTCTCTCACGCACACATGCACACACGCACACAAACACTTACACAAACACGTACGCACTCACGAAAAACATCCACAAACAAACATCCACAAACAAACAAACGAACCTTGAGCCTGACGACGACAAAGAGAACCACAATGGCGATGACAGCTAGCAGGACGGCGGCCACAGCAATCTCGACGGTGCTGGTGGGGACGCGCCCGAGGTACTGCGCGCCACTGGAGGACGTGCGATCTGCAGGCGTTGTGGTGGTGTCAGCTGTGGCTGGAGGTTGGTGGGCGCGTGCAGTGGTGTGCGACTGCGCATGTGTCGACGCACCCGCTGTCACGGTTGATGTTGTTGAAGATGATGGTGGTGGCGGTGATGGTGATGGCTCCACTGGTGTGGACGGCGTGGTGCTGGTGTCCAAGACGCATCCTGAAGGAGTTGCGTTCACGCAGCGGCCGGGGCACGACGGATGGCACGCCTCACACATTGCCTGCTCGTTGGCGAAGAAGCCAACGGGGCATGCAGAGACGCACGTGCCCTTGTGTATGAAGTTGACGCACTTCCCGCCCGCACAGTCTGCGGCTGTTGGACCCGTGCATCCGGCCAGACACTCGCCATCACACGCCTCGCACGTGTCCGTGGCCGTGTTGTGATACGTGCCGACAGGGCATGTGGAGATGCACTGTCCATCCAGCTGCACGTGTCGACACGCCGTGCAGTTACTGGCACCGGGACCCGAGCACCCGCTCGCGCACTCTCCGTGACACGGCTGGCACACCACCACGGTGCCAGCGCTGCTGCCCTCATCACCGCCATCACCAGCGTGCGGCGCGTAGAACCCACGTGGACACTCGGCGAGACACGTGCCCTGGGATTGTACATGCACACACGCCTTGCAGTCCCTGTTGGTCGGAGCAAAGCAGCCATTGCACTCTGCATGGCATGGCTTGCACAGGTTGTCAGTCGAGTCAAGATACTGGCGGGCCGGGTCCCTGCAGGATGAGTCATCAAAGCACGTCAGCGTGCCATCGGTGTCGACAACACCAGCGTGCACACATGCCGTGCACTCCTGCTGCGTTGGGCCTGTGCAGGCGTCGCAGTTGTCAGCGCACGCGTGGCAGGTCGTGCCGTCCTCAGACGCGTATGTGCCGGACGGGCAGCTCGGCACGCAGTTGCCATTGTACGTGATGCCAGAGGAGCATGCATCCTTGACGCACTCGCACACGGCCGTGTCAAAGTAGGAGTCGGACGGGCACGACTGGTGCTGCGTTGTGCAGTCGCCGCTGTCCAGACAGTCGCCTGCAGCAGGACCGCTGCACCCGTGCTTGCACGACGCATCGCATGGCCGGCACATCTGCGCGTCGTCCACGTACTCGTCAGCCTGGCACTGGCGCGCACACGTGCCGTCGCTGGCAGTGACGTGCTTGCAGCTGTTGCACGACGCAGCGCCGGCAGCGTGGCAGCCTTCCTCGCCACACTCGCCATCGCATGCCTGGCATGCAAAGTCAATGTCCTCGTAGTGGCTGACAGGGCATTCCGAGAGGCACTGCTGGCCAAGGTGCACAGACTTGCACGACGGCTCTGTGGCGCTCACATCTGCTGCCGCCTCAAAGCACTGGCGGTCAGATGGGCCAAAGCACACGTCCGCGCACTCTGGGTGGCACTCCTCGCACACGCTGCGCTCCGTGGCGTACATGTGCACGGGGCATGACGCAAGACACGTGCCATCGTGGCTCACGTGCTTGCAGCGAAGGCAGGCGCCTGGACCCGCGCCAATGCACCCGTCGCACTCCGCGTGGCACGTCCTGCACTTGGAGGACGCCACATCCTCATATGTGCCCTTGTTGCATGCAGGCACGCACGCGCCATCTTCGTCCTCAAAGGCGAGGCAGCGGTTTCCACTGCTGTCGCTGGTGCAGTCGTGAGCGCTTGGGCCCGTGCAGCCGGAGGCACACTGGTCGTTGCAAGGGAGGCACACGTTGCTACTGCGGATGGTGGCGTGTGGATACAGCGCGTGGAAGGCGGCCGTGTCTGTGCTGGCAAAGTAGTCTGCCGGACACTCATCAACGCACTCTGTGCTGTGCTGCGCATGTGCGCAGGGGCCGATGCAGTCTGTGACATCGGGACCGTCGCACCCTGAGAGACACTCGGCGTGGCACGGCAGGCAGGCGAGCGACTGGTGGTCCGGGTAGGTGTGGTTCGCGCACACGCACACCTGGTGCTCGTTGGGAACGCGGGAGGGCGGACACGCCTCCACGCATTTCGTCACAACGCTGCTGTCGTCGTCCTCCTGGAGCTGAAGACGCAACCCTTTGCATGCGCTGCACTTGGTCGGGCCCGCACCCGTGCATGTGTCGCGGCACTGGCCATTGCACGCCATGCACACGCCATCGCTGCTCTCATACGTTTCTGCGGTGTGTTCGTTTGTGTGTTCGTGTGTGTGCGTGCGTGTGTGTGTGTGTGTGTGTGTGTGTGTGTGTGTGTGTGTGTGTGTGTATGTGTGTTCGTGTGTGTGTGTGTGTGTGTTGGGATTCAAGCAACCTGTGTGAGAATGGAATGACACGGCATGCTGAGCAGACCACCACGCAATAGACAACACGCCCAGTAACGAAAGGGCACAGCTTTCGCGGAACACACACACACAACACACACACGCACACACACACACACATACACACACACAGATGTGTACCTTCTGGGCATGCATCGACGCATGTGCCGTCAAAGAGTTGGACATGTGTGCAGGCCATGCAGTTGTTGGGACCGGGACCCGCGCACGTGTTGCACTCGCTGCAAACGATGATCGTCATGGTAATTGCAGACGCCGCATTGGTGCGTGGGCAAGGAGATGCGTGCGAACGATGAAAGGATGAAGGAAGGCGTGTGAGTGCTTGTGCATTGTCAACCGTTCAAAGTTAAACAACCACGTGCACACAAACACAAACACAAAACACACACAGATACACACAGGCACACACGCACACACAGACAACCACGCATAACACAACACACACGCACACACAGAGGCAAGTAAGCAAGCGCATGCTGAAAACAAAACAGCAGGGAACTCACGCATCGCAAGCCTGGCACTGGTTGTCGTCATCGAGGTAGTGGTGCTTTGGACATGTGTCCACGCACTTGACCTGACCACCTTCGCGCAGCGTTGCGCCAACACACGCGACACACTCGTACTCCGTTCGGCCAAAGCAGCCTGCGCACAGCACGCCAGGCACAGGAAGTGAGTGAGCAAGTGGGGTGAACGAGAGAACACGCATGAATGGGCGAGAAACGCGATGGGGCGATGAGAATGCAAGAACACAACAACCATCGACGGTGAACAGGGAGGGAACGTATAAATCACACCAAAACACTGATGGCCCCTCGCACACATTCACGCACACTCACAACAAAAGACAACAAAAGACAACACAAGACCACACAAGACCACACAACACAACACAACACAACACAACACAACACAACACAACACAACACAACACAAGACCACACAAGACCACACAAGACCACAACACAACACAACACGCGGAAAATCTTCCCATCAAAGCCACCAAGAAGGCAGTGGTGGTGATAGCCGCACCTTTGCACTGTGGATGGCACTTGACGCACTCCTTGCTGTCGTCAACGCCAAGCATGCCAATGTCCCCGCAATCTGCAACGCACGTGCCAGCGTGCTCGTAGTGTTGACAGGAAACACATGCTGTCGGGCCGGCGCCAGTGCACCCCTTGGAATCGCACTCTGCGTCGCAGTTGAGGCACTGCCCGCTGCTGTCACGGTATGTGCCCTTTGGACACGTCGTTGTGCCGCCGCTGTGATCACCGGTTGCTGTTGTGCCGTACAGGATGAGGGTGGCGTCAACAAGCTTCGCGCTGCCTGTGCCGAAACTGCGCGCGTACAGCTTCCACTTGCCCAGCGGCGACTCCCCCCAGTGGCGCACGCTCATAAATGTCCAGTGGATGCCGCTGTTGCTGTAGTCCGAAGCGCGGCGCGTGAGCAGCTTCGACTTGGTGCCGGATGGCGCCTCAATGTCAAGCACAATGTCGCCGCGGCGCGGGGAGTTGATGTTCACCATCACCTGCACGTGCTCCAGCTCAGCGATGGTCGTGTCTTGCCGCCGCACGTCAAACGCAACCGTAAGCGCGTCCGACATGCTTTGCGTGGCGGGGATGGCGCTGTTGGGCTTGATGGTGTTCTTGTGCTGCAGCTGCTTGGGTCGGTTCTCCCACGTGCGAGCAACGTCGACAAGCTTCTTTGCATCCAGCACCCCAAACCCAAACGCATAGCTCATCTTGAACCCAGCCTGCGTGGCCGTAACCATTACGTTGGTTGCGGATCATGCGAATCGAGAGGAGGAGGAGGACATGCGTGTGCACAGCAGCAACGCAGACAATGAATGTGTGCATGTATTTGTGTTTGTGTATTTGTGTATGTGTGTGAAAGACAGATAGAGATAAAGAGAGAGTGTGTGAGAGGTCACACATACACGGCAGTAGGAACACCCATACACTTACACACACACAGACTTCCACGCACTTCCACACACACACTTCCACACACTTCCACACAGACACTTCCACACACAGACACACACAGACACACACAGACACACATACACACACACACGAATACTTCATACACGCACACACAGACACACATACACACACACGAATACTTCATACACACACACACACACAAACACTTCATACACAGAGCTAAAAGCCGCAAGCAAACGTACGCTGTTTGTGTCCCAGCTGTTGCCTGGGGTGCGGGTGCCGCGAACAATGACGTGCTGCACATCGCGCCAAGTCAGTTTTGGGTTGGCCTGCAGCACGAGCGCCACGAGACCAGCGGCAAGCGGGGCCGCTGCCGACGTGCCCGTGTGCGCGTGTGTGCATCCGTTGTGCAGGTCGACAGTGGTGATGGAGCGCGTGCCGGAGCCGCTGCTGTATGTGACGGCGAGCGTCGATGCGCACTTCTCCGTGTAGTACGGCACATTGTTGTGCTCGTCAATCGCCCCAATCGAGAGCGTGTAGGGGCTGTTGGTGTACCCATCGCAGTTGCAGTCGTCAGCGCTTCCGCCGTTGCCCGATGCAAACAGGTAGATTGAACCGAGTCCACCACGCCCCTTCGCAATGCCGTCACCAAAGGCCTTGCGCGCCAGTAGTGCCGGCCCTTCCATCGTTCGCCCGTCATCGTTGGGACCCCAGCTGTTGCTGTACACGTCAATGTGTTGCGGGTTGAGACTGAGCGAGTGCGCCTCCACGCTGTCTGTGACGGGGCCATCCAACATGCGGATGCCGCCAATGTTTGCCTCATATGCAATGCCCACGCCACACTTCCTGTTGTCGCGGGCAGCAGCAACCTCGCCGCTGCAGCGCGTGCCGTGCTTGTTGATTGGGTACCGCTCGTCGGGGAAGGGGTCATCGTCGTTGCCGTTGATGTCTGTGCTTGCCTTTGGGTCGTAATTTGCCTTGAGGTCCGGGTGCGTGTACTCAATACCGTCGTCCACAATCGTGACAACGACGCCTTTGCCCGTGATGCCCTCGTTCCACACAGGCAGCACATTGTGGTGGTTGTCGCTATGCGACTGATACTGCACACGCATGTGTTTGTTTGTGTTTTTTTGGTGCGGGGTTGTGTGTTTGTGCGTGCAATTGTTTGTGTGAGAGACACAGAAAGAGAGAGTGTGTATATGTGTGTGGGATGTGTTTGCGAGTGTGTTTGTGTTGTGGTGTGTTTGCGAGTGTGTTTGTGTTGTGGTGTGTTTGCGAGTGTGTTTGTGTTGTGGTGTGTTGAGTTGAGTTGTGTTGAGTTGTGTTGTGTTGAGTTGAGTTGTTGTTGTCAGGACATGGGTGCTTGGGGCACGTGTGTGCACTGAGGTGCAGCAGGAAGGAACGCACAAGCATACACGTACGCATGTACGCTTGTACGAGCACAGGCAAAACAAAACTGGACCACGTACCAGGTGCCACTGGACTGAGAATGAAGGATCGTTGATGGTTTTGGCATACGCGTCCGCGTCAAAGTCACGACGAACACGCCCCAAACCTCCCTGCGATTCAGGACCTCCACCACCAGGGGCTGCAGCATCCATGCTTGCAAGAGCGGACATGTCCTCATCAGGTGCGGTGCCGGCGTTGCCTGCGTTGCCTGCACGCAAGGTGTCCAAGTCCACGGCGTAGTGGCGTGGGCGGTGCAGCAAGCGCTGCTGCTCGGCCCAGATGACCCGGGACTCGTTAAGCAGCCGGTGCGTGTGGGGCGCAGCATGGCGATGCGGCTGCACGCACTCTCCGGCTGCTTCTTGTTCTGGATCGCAGCTGAGCTCAAAGTGATAGAAGTTGTCCAGCCCGCCGATCTGCAGTCATTCAGGGTTGGAGTTTGGAGAAGAGGAGGGTGGGGGTGAGACTATGTGCTATGTGGCCCACAGACAACCACACAACAAGCATGCACGAAGCATGCATGAACATACACACACACACACACACACACACACACACACACACACACACACACACACAAACATATCCACACACAAACATATCCACACACACACACACACACACACACACACACACACACACACACACACACACACACACACACACACACACACACACACACACACACACACACACACACACACACACACCGGTCCTCGATTGCGAAACCCGTGAGCGCGGGCCACTTGATCTGCTGCGTCGCGGTCTCCATCAACGTGGACGGCCCAGAGATTGTGGAAAGCGCCTGGTTCACCCACTTTCTTCAACCTCTCCGCCGTCACCACACCACCGTTTGCGTTGTCCTGAGCATCACCATGCCTTCTCTCCAACGCGCACACCATAACCACCGCAGCAACCAGCCCCACCAGCAACACCAGCTTCACACCTTGTGCAGCCATGCCTGCCATCACGCCGCAGCGTCGCACACGACCACCACCTCCACTTCTTGTTGCCTTGCTTTCGGTTCTTCTTTTGCTTCTCCTTCCCACCATCCTCAACTGTGTGTGTGTGTGGTGTGTGCGTGTGTGTGTGGTGTGTGAATGTCGCCGCCATCTCCATCCACCCGTCCATTGTTTTTCTTGTTTACTATCTTTCTGTGTGTCTTGTGTCGTCCCAACAACGCCAGCAAACAACACAAGCACAACAACACAAGCACAACAACACAAGCACAACAACAACACGACCTCCTTGTGTGTAGCTGTGCCTTGCGCCTGCCTGCAATGACGCGTCGCTTGCGATCCACGAGTGGCAGCATGCTGCCGCCTTTGGATGAGCGGCAGCGTCCAAGCTGGAACTTTAGCACAGATTGTAAGCGCGTGCGTTTGTGTATGTGTGTGTGTGTGTGTGTTGTTGTTGTTGTTTAAGTTGTTGTTGTTGTTGTTGTTGTTGTTTAAGTTGTTGTTGTTTAAGTTGTTGTTGTTGTTGCTGTTGCTGTTGTTGTTGTTGTTGTTGTTGTTGTTGTTGTTGTTGTTGTTGTTGTTGTTGTTGTGTCTGTTGTTGTGTCTGTTGTTGTGTATGTTGTTGTGTATGTGTGTGTTGTGTCTGTTGTTGTGTTCCTCCCTTTGTCCGTGTGGCAGTGCAATGGTGTGCGTGTCATAGTGCTCGTGCTCACTGCACTGGTGGCATTGCGGCGCACTGCTCACGCGTCCTGGCTGCGTCTTGCTCACTTCGCTCCCATCCTCGGCCCCTCTTCTTTCTCAATGGCAGTGCACAACAGCAATGGCACTGCCCAGTCCCCATGCAGATGCAGCACGTGCAGGTCCATTCACCGCCACAGCCGCCGCCTCGAGAAGAAGCAGCGCTCCATGGTAAGAACATGTGTATGCCGTAAGTGTGTGCATGTGTGCACATGTGACGCGTGCGTGTGTTGAAATGAAGGCGGGTTGACTGTGCGTGCTCGTTGCTTGTAGCGCACGCACGTTCCCCTCTTCGTGTACAAACTTTCACCATGAGTGCGTTCGTCCTCAGCCCTCTCACATACGCACACTCTCATGCATGTGCACACATGCACGCACCCACATGCATGCACATGCACACACAGGAGCGGCTGCCAAAGCTCCCCTTCAAAGTCGGGGACCGTGTGCTGGTGACGGGCGATCGTGTCGGTCTTGTGCGCTGGGTTGGTCGTCTTGATACCCCATACATCAACCCCAACATCCACGTCGGCGTCCATGTAAGAGATTTGGTGGCAACAGGAGAGCAAATCAGCAGCAGGAAGAGTGTATGTGTGTTTTTGTGTTTGTCTGCGTGCTTGTTTGTGTGTGTTTGTGTGTTTGTCTGCGTTTGCAGTGCACGTGTGGCAAAGTGCACCTGCGCCCGTTTTTGTCCCACACGTCCTCACATCATGCATTCCATGGCGGTAGCTGGACGACCCGATTGGGGACACGGACGGCGTGCTGAAGGGCAAACGGTACTTCTCGTGTCCCGAGCAGCACGGCGTCTTCGTGTCAAAGGACGAAGTCATCCTTGCCAAAGGCCGTCACGACCTCAACTACAAGTGCGTGTGTGTGTGTGTGTGTGCATTTCAATACCATTGTGTTTGAATTCACCTCTGTGTATGTATGTGTGCGTGTGTGTGATGCTGACATTGGCTTCTACATGCATGCACCATGTACCACCATGCACATGTGTGTGCTGTGCGCGTCACGATTTGCACTCAAGAGTGTGCTCCGCCCATTCCTCATCAGCCCCACACCACCAACCGCTGTTGTGTTGCTGCTTGCTGCGCTGCAGGATGATCACGCCACCAGACAAGGCCCGCCCCGCCCCGCCGCTCCTGCCGCCCGTAAACAACAACGCGACCACCACCACCACCACCACCACCACCACCACCAATGGCACATATGCACAGAAGCCAGCCACACGCACGTCAAGCGCGGCAACACGGCGTCGCTTGCATCAGACGCAGCGGCAGCTTGCAGCAGAGCGGGCAGGACAGGTGGCACAGAACGCGCTGAAGAACAAGCCGTGGCGCGGCTACATTCCCGATGAGAGTGATGCTGATGCGTGGACGGGCAGCGAGGATGATGCAGACGATGGCGGTGATGGAGGCGATGACAGCGACAGCGATGATGATGTGTTTGTGACGGGCGTTAGAGGTCCAAGCGAGGACGAGAGGGCGACGAAAGAGCTACTGGGACGCGTGGATGATCAGCATTTGAAGAATGTGCAGGAGTCCGTCTTGCAGCGCGCACGCGATGCAGAGTACGTCAATTCCTCGCTGTGCTGCACTCTCACACGGACATCTGTGCATGTGCATATAAGTTTGAATGTGTATGTATGCACATGTGTCTGTGTGTGTATGCACATGTGTGTATGTGTTTATATGTGTCTGCGTGTGTGTGTGTGTGTGGCAAAAAGTGTGCTTAGACATGAGTGCATGCACATGTGAGGACATTTTCTGCTGTCTGTGCATCGGTCACCATCGCGCCTCCATCAACTCACCACCATCAACTCACCATGATCATCACCACCATCACCACTTTAGACGACTGCTTGCTGACCTTGAACTGCGCAACAATCGGCGCTCCCCTGCCGCGTCCCATCGCCAATCGCCATCACAACCACGGTCGCGGTCACGGTCACGGTCACGGTCACACTCGCGCGTGCACTCTCCGCATCGCAGCAGAAATGCGAGCGCGCGGACAGGAAACGGCCGCGGTGCTGAAAGGAACAGCAAGGCTCCTCCATCGCCAGGGCGCTTGTCACCCCATCACCACCAGCAGCACCAGGAGAAGCAGCCACAGCAGAAGCAAGAGCGAGAAGCGTCCCCCACGCCGTCTTCATCGTCGCGAGCACGCTCGCGTTCGCGTTCGCCGCGTCCACGAAACGATAGGACAACAGGAGCCGGCCGTGGTGATGAAAGGGGGACCAAAGGGGCCGAGCAGCCGAAGAAGGTCGCAGCGGAACGTGGCGCACGTGCGAAGGATAGCGCCAATGCACCGGCGAAAACATCCGATGACAGGGAGAAACATGATGACGGTGGTCACGCTGACGAGCAACCCAAAGCGCAGGGTCAGGATGCAGAGCTTAGGCAGAACGTACAGGCACCACAGCAACAGAAACAGAAGCAGCAGGCATCAGCAACCACGACAGCACAGAATGCTGATGGTGATAATGATAAAGGTGACGATGACATGGTTTCGGCGGATGAACTCGTGCGTGATCTCTTCGCAGCAGCAGACGTCAACAACAACGGGTGTGTTTGTTTGTTTTGTTTGTTGTTTGTTTGTTTTGTTTGCCTGTCTGCTTTCGTGTGTGCATGTGTGCGTGTGTGCGCGTGTGCGTGTACCTCTCACACCCTGTGCATTGCGCCCCGCATGCCCATGCGAACAGCTATCTGAACGCGCTCGAGTTTGCGCACGCGGCGTACACAGAGACGCTTGGGCTTGCGCTGACGGCTGGGCAGGAGGCGCAGATGATGGAGGCAGTAGACACGACTGGCAACGGCCGCGTTACACTCGACGAAATGCAACCACTGTTTGTCAATCTCCTCGCCCACGTCTACGGCGATGCACAAGGTCCGCTGCCCCCATGTTTATGCGATGTGTTTCTGGGGGCGGGAGTGCTAGTTGTGTGTGCACGGACATGTGTGTGTGTGTATGCTCCACTGTGCGAATGCTCTTTTGCTTGCTTGCTTGCTTGCTACGTGCACGTGTCTGTACCTGTCGACCTCTACGCCTTCCTTCACCATCACTCCTTCCTTCCTCCACCCTTCAACAGGTGACGAGTGGCAGCTTGTGTACTCGCGCCCGCCATATGAGGTCCACTTCCACAAACCCTCCGCATCCCTCGATATTCAGCTGCCCCAAGACGTCGACGACTACCACAGGCAGTGCGTTTCCCCCTGCGCATGTGTGTGTGTGTGTGTGTTGGTGGCTCGGAGTGGGATTGTTAGCGTGGCGTGGTGTTGCGTTGCGTGCAGACATGCGTTTCACAACCGCTTACATTTGCTGTTATCACGCGCAAAATCACACACACACACACACACACACACACACACACACACACACACACACACACACACACACACACACACACACACACACACACTTACACACACAAACAAATTCAAACCTCCACACCACCATCCCCCCCCCCACTGCCTTGCTGTCCAGGGTGTACGCGCCGCCGCAGAATGAGATTGACCTGACGGCGCTGTATGCGTTTCATGCCGGCGACACCACAGCGCGCGGATCGCTCGCCCCAGATGAACTCGTCGCCGTGCTCTCGTCCCCAGACCTCGGCCTCAACCTCTCTCAGGAGGACGTAAGATGTCCACGGGCAGTGGCTGGTGTGCTGGTGGGCTGGTTGGTGGGCCGGTTGGTCGGTTGGTCGGTGGGCTGGTTGGTGGGCCGGTTGGTCGGTGGGCTGGTTGGTTGAGGTTTGACAGCGGAAGAGAGGAAGGATAGTTCACTGCTCCACGCCGTGCTGACACTCACCTGCATCATTTCAACCGCGCACTCGCGCGTACTTCTGCATCCACGCACATTCGCATGCACAAATTCACACGTACACACACGCGCACTCGCACACCCTCTACACACAACCACTTGCGTGTCCAGCTGGACTATGTTGTTGCTGTGACGGAGCTTGAGGCATATGGGGAGGTTGCGTGGCCGCACTTCCGGCTGGCGATGCGTGTGCTGATGGCGCGGGAATGGTTTGAGGCGCTGCCACCGGGCGCAGAGTGGATACGCGTCGACTCGGAGCAGTTTGGGACCGTCTTCTACCACCGCGAGACCGGCGAGGCGCGCTATGATGAGCCGGAGCAGTACGCAACGTACTGACGCGGCTGCTCGCAAGCATGCACAACAAACAACAACAACAACAACAACAACAACAACAACAACAACAACAACAACAACAACAACAACAACAACAACAACAAACAACGCATAGCGGGTCCACACCGTCTCCGTTTCTTTATTCCACTCCTGCACACGTGCCACGTGCTTGGTGACGATTTCCATTTGCTTCAGTCTGAATGCTTGCTTGTGTTAACAAACATACGATCAGTGATGTGGTTTCCTTTTCAAATGATGACACGACTCGCTCCGTGCCTGGGATTCGCTGCATGTGTTGTTTTGTCCTGTCGCTGAGTGCTGTGTCCATGTTAGGGACATCATGTCACTTGAGCGGATGTTGTTGACATTGCGCTTGTGTGTGTGTGTGTGGGGGGGGGGGGTGGGTGTGTGGGGGTGTTGGGGGTGTGTGGGTGTGTTTGGAGTTCTTGGCATTTATCTGTCCTCATCCACCCAACTGCGTCCCTTCATTTGACCCCTCCCCGATTGATTTTCGTCCTTACTCATAAACGATGCCTGTTCTCACTCTTGTAATTTGTGTTGCTGTATGCACAAGGGGAGGTAGCAACAACGCTGAAAAGAGGGGGGGGGGGGCTTGAGCGAGGACAGAGTAAGAGGGGTTCGGAGAGCAAGCTTGCAAGCAACTTACAAGGCAGCATGAAACAAAAAGACACAACGACTTCTCTCTCACCAGGCTTGCTGAGCAAACGTTGTTCAAACAAGCAGAAGACTCACAGAGGACTAGAAGGGACCAAAGGTGGAGGGCGTGGCTTGCCTACTTCTTCTTTGTCTCATGGAACAAGACATGCTTCCGAACTGCGTGCAATCACAAAGGCAAGACAAACAAACACAAGTGCACACCGTGAGTTGTTTCTGGACTATTCTCGCGGCACCGACTTCTGCGATACGAAAGACGGAGGGGAGAGGTAGAGAGGGAGAGAGGGAGAGAGGGAGGGAGGGAGGGAGGGAGAAAGCACTGCGTTCGAAAGCGCCTCTCTCCCTGTGTGTATGTCTCTCTGTCTCTCTGTCACTCTGTCACTCTGTCTCTGTCTCTGTCTGTCTGTCTCTGTCTGTCTGTCTGTCTGTCTCTCTGTCTGTCTGTCTGTCTCTCTCTGCCTGTCTGTCTCTCTCTCTCTCTCTCTCTCTCTCTTTTCAAGCCATTTTCGGCTCTCTGAGCGGGCAACAAACGAAGGACCAAAGCAAAAGTTTGGGAGTGGCGCAGAGAGCACCGTGACACGGCTCGCCGTTCAGACACCAAAGCAGGACGAAGAAGGAGGAGGAGGAAGAAGGAGGAAATAGGGTTAGCCGTTGGTTTGTGGTACCAGTCGTGGAAGATGGCAGACCAAATTGAAGCGTTGTACGACCACTTTGTGGGCGAGGATGGGGGATTTGGTATGACGGAGCTACGCAACGTGCTCGAGTCCATTGGCTCAAACGCAGTCGCCTCCAATGAAGTCACCCTGCACAGCCTGCTCACACAACTCG